CTTTTCGGCCAATACTGTAACAATATTTTGACAGCTCCAAATCAGTAACTAATAAATACTGGCATAATCTTGATATAATATTAAATCAGGATACATCAGCATTATATAAATACTGACACTACTGACGTGTCAGTACTATTGTAGTATTATATCAATATTCTGTGCTATGTGGGCATGATATTGTACTCCATGCTCACCCTTGATATATTTGCCTTCTCATCTCGTCTAAGATCTTGGACTCCATGCTCATCGCTAAACTTCTCACTCCTTTGCTTGATCATGGAGTCCAAAAGCAAGTAGACGCCTCTTAGTTTTAAAGTTCATCATGAAAGAAAATTGAATACTTCTCTTAGCTAATCTAACTTGAACTAAACCTAACCTAACCAATGCGAATTTTCTTTAAGAAAAAACACCGTTTTTCGTCTTGATTGCACAAAAAAGTCTTAATAAATTTTTGGACCATATGCTCGTGTGTTGTCAAAGAATACCTGCATCCCAAAATTTTGGACGCTGTGCTCATTTTGATTTTTCTGAAAAATTATCTCTCATTAAAGTGAGCATGGAGTCCAAGATCTTGGACGTAATGAGCAACCGAACATTATATAGGTGATCATGGAGTCCAATATCATGGACGCGATGCTAAATTACCAGCACTTTCAAGTGAAAATCACAGAAATTACTTCAAACTAATTTTAAGGGGGGTTTCGAACCCCCAAATACGTCAATTCAAAGGTCATTCAATTTTCCCGCGGAATAAGCCAATCTCCCCCAGATTTGCCTCCACATTATCTCAGTAAGGTCAGAATCAGTTCAACATTACGTTGGCAAGTCCTCAAATTTCGGGAAAAGTTTAAAAAAAAAAAATTTAAACGGTCAAATTTAGTCACCTTAAATTTCGTTTTTTTAAACTTTTCCCGAAATTTGAGGACTTGCCAACGTAATGTTGAACTGATTCTGACCTTACTGAGATAATGTGGAGGCAAATCTGGGGGAGATTGGCTTATTCCGCGGGAAAATTGAATGACCTTTGAATTGACGTATTTGGGGGTCCGAAACCCCCCTTAAAATTAGTTTGAAGTAATTTCTGTGATTTTTACTTGAAAGTGCTTACAATTTGGTAAATTTTCCCGTTTTATTTTTTTCATTACGATAATTTGAACCAGATGGAGTTATCATTTTTTAAAAGTAGGTCAAATTTGACCTTTGACCTATCATAACTCGGTCAAAAATTAAGATCTTGATCTGCGGTTTGCGCCAAAATTCTTAGTTTTTTAAGCTCTTTCGAATGAGATATCACAAGATAGGAATTGCTATTTGAAAAAAAAAGTTGGGGTCCGCAGCCCCTCCCCACGGGGGGGCCCGAAAATTTTGGGGGGNGGGGGGGGGGGGGGAAGTAGCTAACATTGATCGATGAACATACCAGATTGAAGTTTTTGGTGAATCGCGACATCAGTTAGCAAGTAATAATTCTGTTCAATTGAGAGCTCACGAACCTGATTTTTATTTTGAAATTTTTCTCATTGAAATCATGCAAACCATTTGTTGAGGGGTATGAAACAAGCTAGAAATCTGGTGCTCATTTGCTCGTTATTCCAAGGATGGCGGCACGTGCTGCGCTTTAATTGCGAAACTCACGACCGTCACAAATAACTAAAACTTGAGTGGGGAAAACTATGTAAAAAGAAAGAAAAAAAAAGAAAAAAATCCAAAAACATTGGGACCATACTTACATGTTTTTAGATCCCAGAAATCGTTGTAAAAAAATAAAATACAATACAATTTAGGAATTCATTTTAGAGGTAGACGAATTCCGGTTGTCGTAAGTAAGCATCTTTTGACATAATAATTGATGAATTTGGAACATCTCATTTGCGGTATCCATCTCAATACTTCATGTAAAGTGAGAACTTGAAGTGAACTTCAGGAGAATTTTCTTTTTATAAAGTTCTTTTTCTACAGGAATTACTGTCACATCAAAAACCTTAACCATTTGAAAAACTACTGAATAAAAACATACGCAAGGGAAAAAGAGTGCATTTGAGACTTGCCCTATTAATTCACCAAACAATGCCCGATCTTTTCTTGAAATTTCAAGCCCCCCCAAAAATTTTGGGGAGTCATGGCAAGAGGTCAAAGTTGAAAATCAGCAAAATTTTCGCGAATTTGTTACTTGAAAACCAAGGAGTGTTAAAAAACGCAGTTTAGAAGAGCGCTTTCAGCTTTCAGAAAATGTACAATACTAAAGGATTTTGTCAATATCAGCTCGAGTTATCACCTCCAAAGCGCTGGAACGCTAAAAAAAAACCACTTTTTTTCCACGTATAGGCCGCTTCCAAAAAAAGCCATTTTTTTTTTAATTTTGATGAAAAACTGATACGTATTTTCTAACTCTCTGTAACCCCTCTAGCTCTTTACCGTATGCCGGGGACATGTTTTGGTCGCGAGTTATCAGAGCGGAAAGGAGCGAAGGTCGGGAAAATTGGCTGATGTAAACTGCGCGTGCGGCGTTATAGAATACCCCAGAATACCTACCCACCAAACCAAGTTTTAATATAATGGTTTGAACTTGCGTCGATGTAGCATTTCAGGAAAATGGGCCATCGTGGATGATCGAATCTTGAAAATGTGACTGAGAATTCGAGTTCACCGTTATTCATGCTTCTTGTTATCTACGCCTACTACAATCCAGGGGAAAGGCATCAAATGAGCATTTTAGGCTGTAGGCACCAGCTTGGATGTTCAAATTTTGAAATATTCACCCTAAATGCGTGTTCTATGTCAAAAATTATGCTCAGATACCAAGGTTCATAAAAATTGATTAGATAGGTGGCGAGAAAGCTTAATTTTTGGATCTAGTTCCTTAATTAAATCCAAAGAAACTATGTACAATCTCCCACATATCTTGCTTCGAATTAATTTATTTTTTAGTTAGAGAATTTTTTCAGCTTTTAAAAAAGCTACAGAAAACCAGAATCGATTAAATAGTCAAGAGACGCCAATGGTTTTTTCAAAACTTGCTCCCCTGAAACATTTGAAAATGGCTTGAAGTTCCTGCCAGCATAAATACGTCCAATTCATGTTCCTTGTTTTTCTCAACAATTTTAGATGCCTACACATTTATTGCAATGAAACTTTCACCTTTTCAAAACTAAAATTTTTGTATTTGTATTGCGATATTGAGGCTATGACCCAACAATCTTACAACTTAATATGTAATATCACATGCAAAAAATCATCATGAGGACGATAAAGCTATGATAAATGATAACCTTGTGACGTTTATGAAAATGTACATCACTTCGAATTGAGAGTGAGAAATTGAGTTTCTAGAGCAAAGAATCTTAAATTATTTATAAAAATACTTTATTGTAAAAAATTTGTTAGAAAAAAAAAAAAAAAAAAAAAAAAAATCTCTACGAAACACGGAAAATAATGTTATTACAGGGAAATGGAATTAGATGTTTGTTCTCTGACAGACGAGCAGCTCTTCACAACCACCTATATGATCCTAACATAATAAAAATCCAACAAGCTAAGAAAAGTTTCTGTGGAATTAAAAAGTAGACTGATTGATGAATTTAGGAAAAGACTAATTGTAAATATGTAACAACAACTGAAACAACAACAACAATAATAATAATAATAATAACAACAACAACAACAACAACAACAACAATAGCAACAAGAAGGTTGTAGAGTTTTGAACGCACTACTCCTTTACAAAGAATAATTACAATATTTACAGTAATTGAAAAAACATAATAATCAAAGCAAGTTAAGACTATGTTCCCTCATTGGTTCTATGGGTTCTGGGTAAGAATTCTTCTCAGAGGCTAAACAATTATCTCACCAGAGGTAAAATGTTACAAAAAGATGTTTCAAACAGGGAAATTGAGGTTGATGTATGACAGCCATTAATATGATTTGTTGAAATGACAAATAAGATATCATGGAATATTTGAAAAGAAAAGAAGCTCAGGATTCAAAGAAATAGGATTGGACAAGTTGCTATCAATTTCCCACATTTTAATGGATGGCAAAACACGAGACATTTATTCAGATTAATATTTCAAAATTTTTAAAAAAACTCACGCTTTCACTAAATGATTATTTGTCGGGCGCAGTTTGGTAGCTACCTGGGCCACTATCATCAGCTGACTCACAAGGGGAGGCTACCGATTGTCTTCCTCAGATCGGGTTCAAATTTGGCAGAGAGGTAGAATAGGTTAATATAAGAAACCGTATTTTTTTTTAGGTGCCAATGCCCAGCCGTTTTTGAGTTATGAATTTTTGAAGTTGCCGTTTTTTCGTGTCAGCGACGCGCTCAAGTTGAGCCTACTGTGCGCGCATCTTTTAATGCGATCCGAGTGTCCCGACGTTCAAGTGAGACAGTTGCCCAAGCGGTAGCGCGCTCGCCTACGGTGCTGCAGGTTTAGGGTTCGATACTACTTCCGTGAATTACATTTTTGCAATTGATTATTTTGTTTTTTAATCGCTTCATCACAGCAAATTGTAAGTCACCTTGTAGACGTTGTGGTGCTGCTTACATTTTTTTCCTTTTTTGTTACACACTCATTAAAAAAATAAAAAATACATAAAATTTAATTAGAATCATAACGTCTACAAGGTGACTTACAATTTGTTGTGATGAAGCGATTAAAAAACAAAATAATCAATTGCAAAATTGTAATTCACGGAAGTAGTATCGAACCCCGAACCTGCAGCACCGTAAGCGAGCGCGCTACCGTTTGGGCAACTGTGTTAATTGAACGTTAGGACACTCGGATCGCATTAAAAGATGCGCGCACAGTGGGCTCAACTTGAGCGCGTCGCTGACACGAAAAAACGGCAACTTCAAAAATTCATAACTCAAAAACGGCTGGGCATTGGCACCTAAAAAAAAATACGGTTTCTTATATTAACCTATTCTACCTCTCTGCCAAATTTGAACCCGAACTGAGGTGGACAATCGGTAGCCTCCCCTTGTCAGCTGACTGAAGTCAGCTGATTATGGTGGCCTGGGTAACCACCGAAAAACTTCCGACAAATAATCGTATGGTAAAGGCTTGAGTTTTTTAAAAATGTTGAAATATGAATATAACAGCTTTTACTTCTTTTTAAAAATTCGATTGTTATTTTAAAACTTATTCAGATCTTTGATTTTGAGCATTTGTGCAGTGATAAAGTGCACTGCATACAATGTTTACGATTATGCACTTTAGCTAAAGTTAAAAACCGTAAAACATTAGGGACTAAATGCTCTTCAGCTAAGCTTTACAGCTGTATCTTTTTTGAATGCTATTTCTTAGATGATGATAGTCGCAAAAAATGTATAAAAATAAATGTTCATTCAACAAAACCACTTCTGCGTCAATATTGGAGCTGAGATGACTCAATTGTATAAAATGATCATGACACTCAAAATGAGTCATCAAACACAGGACTTAGGCCATGTAGATAAATGTGTTAATATCTTCTTCATCTCGTCTCATGTATTTATGCTCAATGAGCCACTCTATTTGCTCTTTTATCATCTTCTTACTGGGCAAAAACATGTATTTGAGGATGTCTACCAACTCGGGTTGCAGCTGAGCATTAGTAATTTTCTTCCTCATTTTTAGTATTTTTATGATTGCTTCTTGTACTCTAACTACTCGCAAGAGAACGATATTTTCATTATCTTCCTCTTTGCTTTTTTCTGTTGAAAGCTGTAACCGACCAATTAAATTTATTTTACCTCTTTTTTGAAGCTTCCCATTTTTGACTAATGCAAATTCCTGATTGATCCAAAATGTTGTATTTTCTTTAAAGTCTTTCGGAGAAGGTACTTCGGGAAGATACAATACCACTTGCCTCTTAAGTTTTGGAAAAGCAACTAGAGACCACAATGTTCTCCGAAGTTCAGGATCGGGTAACTCTGTTGCAAGTCTCAGGTTTTCATAGGTTATTTTCTCAAAAGGTCGTTGATTCCATGCAAATAAAACAGCCATCTGGAAAGTGGTCACATCGACATCAAAACGCCCAACAGCATTGGAGAAAGTTATTGTCCCATTAGACATATGATGATACCACTGAAGTTTCCTACCACTATGCTTCTTCTTATAGAAATCCTCTACTTCTGGAATGTAGTCCTCTAATTCCAAGGGTAAAGATACCGTAACGCGTTCACTTCCTCTTGCCCAAGCTCCAGCATTTAATATTTTAATATTTATTGAATCAGCAATACTACCTTTACAGCTGCGATAAGTTTCTTTGAAATGCAGGTTTAAATCTTCACTAACTTTGATATCTTGGAACATTCGAGCTAGCTTATTGACATAGTCTGCAGGCATGCCGATTTCTCGAAGCCATTCTACCATATTTTCCTCTTTTTCAGAATCAGCTGATGTATCTAGAATCAAGCGTCTTGTCAAGTGAGCTTTATGAAACCTCATGAAGACATCTTTATTTTGGACATACTTTAAAACCAGAAGCACATCTTTTAGTTTGTTTTCTATTTCATCGGTAGTTAATTTCCTGCTTAGAGGTGTTTTACGCAATAACATATCACAATAGTTGGCAAGGAGCTCCGGACATTTTGATTCAGGCTGAGATTTTAAGCTGGCGTTTTGTTTACTAGGCAGTTCTAGACGAAAAACTTGAGTATCATTTACCACTTGCTTGTATGCTTTATCTCGAGCAGTTAAAAACCTTGGATCATCATTGAATGCAAGTTTAACAAGTGTACTAAATTGATTAAATAACTCCAAGAGTTGTTCAACGTATTTTTCAGAGTCCTATAAACAAAGAAACAAAAATAAGGAAAAGTGAAAGAGCGTGAGAGAGAAATACTTGAAAAATGACGCACACATAAAATAGATATAAGAGACCACTTCTCTGCAGTATCGATTCAGAGATTCTTTCGGTATGATCTGTGAGTAAGTCTGGTCACACTCAATTTTCTGGAGCTTCCATGTGATGAGTTCTGTCCCTTGCAATGTGAGGTCACGTAAAGTCTTACTGAGCTTTTTATTGAGTTGTGACCCAAAGTTACATAATCTTTTACTAAAATGTACTTCATACTAAACTAACGGACTTTTGTACTACCCCTTAAGAAATAGAAAACATCTCTCTAGAAACGATGCGCAAAACAAAATTAAAAGTGCAATGGCCAGGGACTGTCTTATCAATTAAAAAAACAACACAAAAGCATGGAAAGTTTCACAAAAAATCCAGGGCATATCATGCCGATTGGTAGAGCATTTAAGACTGCAAGTCAGAAAACATTACAAGGTAGCAAGCGGGATCGTTTGCTGTATACACAAATACATTATTAGAAGTGCGATTGTGCAAGATCGTCACCTCTAGCTGTTCAGTGGCTACTTTAACTTAAAAATTTAAATTTAAGTTCTGTTTGAACAATTTTTTTTTCCACATTTTAACTGTCAATAAATCTATTGCTTCAGAGTTTTTAATCATAGCTTTATTACGGTAATTTTTATGATAAGAATCAGGAAAACATGCGATTAATTGCATCAATTACCCTAGTAGCACATCTTGTAATGTAATTCGTGAAAAAAAAATTAAAACTGGTAATTTTACGAGTACGAAAGATGTACGTAAAAGAACTCGTAAAAAATCAGAGTCTGAGAACTTAACGTAAAAAATTTGTGATCAAAGACGTAAAAAAAACTGGGGGATTGAACTGAAATCTGTACGTAAAAAATTCGCGATTTTTTACATGTAGAAAATCAGGAAAAAAATGTCTGAATGGAAAATTCGCTGAAATGACCGAACAGGAGATACCTTTGTAGTTTTTATGACAAGGAAATCAAGCAAAAAATTCTGATGTCCCCTAAAGATTGTTTGTAAAAAAAAGTTTAGCCCGAAAACTGGATACAAAATCACATTGTTCTGAACGAATAAGCCAGAGTTTTTAAAAGTTCGAGAGGATTTTAATAACTTATCTTCATTAAAATAGTTAAGACATTCTTATAAAAAATTGATGCATGTTAATAATATTTAAGAAAAAAAAGATAAAAGGGGGACATATAATTAAAATGTACATAATTTTTTTCACATATTCCTGAACAACAAAGGTACTTTAGAAAGTAGGTATACCCTATACCATCTTTAAAATATCCATGATAAATATTAGTTTTTGCCCTTATCCAGTTTTTCCAAATTCAAAAAATATTCCGCAAGTCGTTCTCACGCATATTCAACAATAAAAATATTCACTTATGCAGCGCAAATTCGCCCCTCTAATACAGAGGCCTCGTTTGCTCAGTAGGTAGCGCATTCGATTCCTGATAGGCAGGTCCCAGGTTCAATTCCCGACAGGTAGATAATAATTTGAAAGTTGATCTCAAGGAGAATTAATTGACTACAGATTCAGATAGGTAAGAAGTCTGTTTTTTTCTTCACGATTTATCATTTTAATCAATTTCAGGAAGCAAGAGTTTTTTTGCGCATGACTTTTTACATAAAGAAACTCGATTTTTTTACGTAAAAAATCTTGTACTCTTTACGAATTATTCTTGTAAAAAAGACTACATCGGCATTTCATTTTTAGTCTATTTTACGTCTTTTTTTACGAATTTTTTTTTTGGTAAATTTTACGTCTTTGTGCTTCTAGGGTAGCTTCGTGTTTTCAGCTAACTATCATTTCCATCGTATTTAGAGATTACATGTCTGTTGTTGCGAGACTAAAAAATTTACAAACCAAATTAGATGAACAAATTTAGCATTGTAAAGGCAGGGATTTTCTTTGAATACAATCGACTCTTCGTAATTTGAACCTCCATAATTCGAAAACCTTGATAATACGAAGGAACCGCATATTACTAAAAAATCAATTATTTGCAGTTCCCTCTATAATTCGAATTTATCTAAAGGCACCTGACTAGAGATGACCACTACAATTCAAAGTTTATGATCGGCCTCTCTATAATTCGAAAAGCACATGTTCTTAACCTCTGCAATTCAAATAATGTTACTCAACAGGTGTTCCAAAACTGATATCATTTGTTTGGTTCCTTTACGTTAGTTTGCATCTGAAAAGCGTGCCTGGAATGAGTTTTCCCTAACTGAGAAAGTGAGGTGTCTCGTCTGAAAGTGCCTTGGTGCGTCACCTAGTCAGGGCAGTATGAAACAGTGTGTTATGTCCGTCTTGGGTGGAAGAAGTTCCATCTCTTTATTTTGCGTTTTTGTTTCCTTCTGTTTTCCAGGATTGCTTATTTGGCCGGGAGAAATGTCATGTCGGTTTGAAGGATCATTTTCAATGTAAAATGGATTTAGATATTCCATAAATATATAAAAAATATTAATCTTTATAATTATTAGATACATATGTCAATTTATTTTGCAAACCCTCTGAAATTCGAATTTTTTCAGATGCTCTCTCCTGATTCAAAAACCTCAATACTTCCAATTCAAAACCCGGTCCCGTCCGCTTCCAATTATGCAGTCGACTGTTAAAGTATCGCATCTGAAACTGGTATCAAAATTGCGGTTGAATGCAATATTTTACAACTAAAAATTCAAACCCTGCCATTAATACGCTGAATTTGTTTGTCTTAGGAACGTAAAGTCTTTCGTTTCATGACAACAGGAAAATTATTTTGAAGTGTTTTTTTCTCTTTTCTTTTTTTTTCCTCGTCATTCTTCGAGGAGTGTTGCATATCAAAAATTAAACCATGAAGTAAAACCCTTGGATTTAAAGAAATATTCTGCGTCTTGGCTCTTTTTTCACCCCTAAAAAGTTAAAAAAAATACTCGCAATTTTTGCAAAATGACAGGCGGCCTTTCAATGATAAAAACAATTGAGTACTTTAGAGCCACGCAACCATAGAGTACATAGAGTCGTAATGTAAGTGGGAGAGCTGCCGCCATGTTCGGCTCGACGAGTTCTGAGCCCGGTGTGCGCCAAGTTCGGGTCACTTTTTCGATACATGTTCGATCCAAAATGGCGGTGTGGAATATGTGGTGATTCCTATCTTCTTTGCTTACATTGGATGGCCGGGTACCCGTGTATCGCAAACAATCGATTATGTATCGAAAAAGTGACCCGGTCCCGGTGTCACACATGAGTCTCGGAATTCGGGACCTGGAAAATTAGACCGTGGGCCAGCAAGGGGCAACCCTCCCCCCCCCCACCCCCGGTGGGAATTTTGAAGATGGGTTTTTCTTGAAGCTCTCAACTAGTATAATAAGATTTTTCTTGTTTACGCGAATTTTATCGTGGTGGGGGGGGAGGGGAGTAGGCCCCCCTAAACCCCCCAAAATTGCTCAGAATTCAGACTTTGCCGCCAATTTTCCCACTTTTACCCAAAAAGGCTTGATTTTAGGGCAAAACTCCTTACCACCATTCTGAAAGCTCGTGAAATTTTGGTTCAGAAAAAATTTGTTTGACTTTGACCAGGACCCGCGGTCTCCCAAAATGGGGGAGCTTAAAATGTCAAAATATCTCAAATTTCCGCGAAAATGACCGTTTCGCCGCGATTTCTCGCCACTAACGCAAAGAAGGTTGGTATTATCGTAAACTTGTTTACCCCTAAAATAATAGAGCATTAATTTTTCATTCGAGGGGCGGCCTAACCCCTCGTGGAGGGGAGAAGGGGCCCTCCAGCAGTACCCACCCTATGAAAACCGTCAAAATTCGCCGCTTCCTTGAAGTAGCGTTATGCGCAAAAATGGGCGGCAAAATGAAAACAAGTAGCGTTTGTTCTGAGAGAACATCAATGAGGATTCTTGTGGGGGGTGACAGGGGGGAGGGAGGTACATCCTCCTCCCTCCCCCTCCCCCTCCCCCCAAAAAACAATCACGAAAAACGTTAATTAAACGCGAAAATTCCACTTTATAAGACGACTTTTAGGGCTTGTCATTGACACGCTTACACTAACGTAATTTAACGAGGGGGGAGGGGGGAGGGGTTTACCCTCCTCCCTCCTCTTCCACCTCCTCCCCCTCCCCCAAAGAAATAATCACGAAAAAATTTAAATAAACGCGAAAATTCCATACTCTGAAAGACGACTTTCAGGGCGTGTCATTGTCACGCTCACACTAATATAATTTAATGAGGGGAGGGGGAGAGGGGGTGTTGCCTTAAATATACTTTTTCCAGTGCCTATAAAGGGCGTATTTCCAGAGTCGAACTATCTTGATAACTATTCGTCAATCAGAGTTCACTGCAGTATCTGTCTGTGACCAAATGAATGATTGAATACTTTGGCAAACGATCCAATACACTATGAGCCTCTTCTCCAAACGTTTCAAAAATGTTGACATAAGCTTAAGAATGTACATTTCCGTCAATTATGAATAAACTCCCCTCAGTTTCCGTCATTTCCAAAAAATAAAATAGTATCTCTACGTTCCCTGATTTAATTACGGATCCCTTCAAATCTTAAAATTCTCCTACTGCAGCTAGGTTTCCCTGTCCCTCCTATTATTAAGTAAGTAACGTTTATAAATTACCCCTCCCCCACCCTTTTTTAATGTTGGCTGGGGAGGCTAAGATGTCTAACACCCCCCATCCCCCTCCCCTCATTAAATTATATTAGTGTGAGCGTGACAATGACACGCCCTGAAAGTCGCCTTTCAGAGTATGGAATTTTCGCGTTTATTTAAATGTTTTCGTGATTATTTCTTTGGGGGAGGGGGAGGGGGTGGAAGAGGAGGGAGGAGGGTAAACCCCTCCCCCCTCCCCCCTCGTTAAATTACGTTAGTGTAAGCGTGTCAATGACAAGCCCTAAAAGTCGTCTTATAAAATGGAATTTTCGCGTTTAATTAACGTTTTTCGTGATTGTTTTTTGGGGGGAGGGGGAAGGGGAGGGAGGAGGATGTACCTCCCTCCCCCCTGTCACCCCCCACAAGAATCCTCATTGATGTTCTCTCAGAACAAACGCTACTTGTTTTCATTTTGCCGCCCATTTTTGCGCATAACGTTACTTCAAGGAAGCGGCGAATTTTGACGGTTTTCATAGGGTGGGTACTGCTGGGGGGGCCCCTTCTCCCCCCCCCCACGAGGGGTTAGGCCGCCCCTCGAATGAAAAATTAATGCTCTATAATTTTAGGGGTAAACAAGTTTACGATAATACCAACCTTCTTTGCGTTAGTGGCGAGAAATCGCGGCGAAACGGTCATTTTCGCGGAAATTTGAGATATTTTGACATTTTAAGCTCCCCCATTTTGGGAGACCGCGGGTCCTGGTCAAAGTCAAACAAATTTTTTCTGAACCAAAATTTCACGAGCTTTCAGAATGGTGGTAAGGAGTTTTGCCCTAAAATCAAGCCTTTTTGGGTAAAAGTGGGAAAATTGGCGGCAAAGTCGGAATTCTGAGCAATTTTGGGGGGTTTAGGGGGGCCTACTCCCCTCCCCCCCCCACCACGATAAAATTCGCGTAAACAAGAAAAATCTTATTATACTAGTTGAGAGCTTCAAGAAAAACCCATCTTCAAAATTCCCACAGGGGGGGGGGGGGTTTACCCCTTGCTGGCCCACGGTCTAAACGCTCAAAAGTGGCGCCAGCTCACCCACTTTACATTACGACTCTATGTACTCCATGCACACAACCTACCTGAGTAATTATATCGGCAGATGCAACCATGTCAGCCAAACCAGCATGGACAATGTGGTCCTCCAAGTTTCTGAGTATTGGCTCAATTCCATTGGGCACTCGATCAAGAAGTCGGAACATCAATTGTAATTCTGCAATAAACAAAAACTGGAATTCTTGGGCAAAAAGGCTGTGGAAACACTGAAAGATTGTACTTAGTACATTCCTCTGTACAAGGTGGAATGAAAGTTTCAGATTTCCAAGATAGTTGGCTAACTTGTGAGGAGCTGCACTAAAGATGGAATTTTAAGGGTGTTCCTCAGTTAATAGATGTAATCTAGGAAGTGCATAATCCAACACCATCTTACGTCAGAGATGTCAACCAATTCTCTCTCACATCTCAGAGGTCGATAGATAAAATACCTCACATATCCTGCCATTCTATCATTCTCATTATTTCTTGTTCTCTAGTTCAATCCTGGTAACCCACTGCTATCTATTCCGATCAGCTCCACTAATCAACCCTTACATTAGTTATTCAGAGGCCTCATCAGGCGTGAATCAGTCAATGGTAATTGTTAGCCCATTACTTGCAACAATTGAGTCACAAAGAAAGCAGAGCGAAGAGCTCACAAGGCGGTTGGCTCGTCTTGAGTCATTCCTCCAGTCCCATGGTTTTTAATTCTTTGAATGAAGAGCGTTTTAAACTCTCCGAAACTAATAATACAGCATGGAATGCATGTGCTCTTACTCAAACCAAGTTTCTCGAAATTACTGTCACTTTGAATGACCTGCGTACCGATATTGTCTTGTTCTCAGAACCTCATTTCCTTAAACATGAGAGAAGATTCTTTCAGGGTTTCAAATTCTATAATTCATGTCAACCCTCTAAAATACACCGTGGAGGAGTAGCTGTTTTAATGAAACAAAATATCAGCCATTCACTTGATGACATTATAGAGGAAGAGAAAGAGGTTGTTCCAAAAACGCCGATTTTTGCCCCCTCCTGGATTTGGGCAAAACTTTGCTCAGATGTACTAAGTGTACCCGATGCTTGGGCAAAATTTCAGCCCCCTCGGATAATTAGGGGGGAGGGGGTAGGGGGGCAATGTTGCAATTTTTTCAGAACTTTAAAAATCGATATCTCGCGAACGGTTTGGGTGTAAGTGTTGCGGTTTGCGCTAAAAAACGTTAACAAATATTCTCTACTAGAATATTAATGCTGTTTGCATAGTTGCGTACTTTATCGTAGTCATAAATCGATTTTCTCGATTTTGAAGGTTCGACTTTTTTCGTTTTTTGTCTCTCCGCTCTATGCAATCGTTGTTACGTGAATAAAAACCTGTTGAGGTAATTCTCCATAAAATTCTGCATCTACCACACTTCGTTTGACCTTGGGGAAACGATTCGTTCTTGAGTTATAGCGATTTTTCTGCGCGTTCCCGGTTACGCGCGGGCGGTATGCGGTATATCGGCAACGCTCCATCCCGCGCGGGCGAGGCAGAGGTTGTTTCACCACTAGGGCCTTATATTCATGCTGTAGGGTGTAATTATCGATATATTCTCCTCCCCCTACCCTTCTCCTCCAATAAATATTTTTTTATCCTTCGTTATACAGGGTGTCCCAGATCACCCGTACCAGCTCTTTTTCTCGGTTGAATTAGGTAGTATGAAGTGGGGGACTGCAGGGTTGAATAGGGAATTGACCCCAAGAAATCCGAATTTCATCGTCCCGAACCTCCCCATGTCTCCCTTGGGGGGTAAAGAGAGGGTCACGATCCATAAAGTCGGGAGACATTTTGACTCCCCCTTATACCACCTAAGGAAGGTTAGGGGGGCTTCGGAACCATGAAAATCGGATTCCTTGGGGTCTATTACCTGGAATATCATCTTTTTCCGGAGAATCTACATCAATTTTTGACCAAAGGGAAATTATGGAGGGGGGCGTTGTACCCGTCTTTGAGAGATAATTTTTGGCGTTAAGTAGTCCGATTTTGGATTCTTAAGGGTAAATTACGCGTGACATTTTTCGTTCTTTCCAACTTTAATGCAATCGAATCGCAATTCTATCGGGGACCCCAAGTACAGGCAAAGTTTACAAAGAGACCTTTAATTCTGAAATGGAATATGCCTTTCCACTGAAATGAAGGCATAAGGTCCCAGTATTTTAACTTTGAAGGAATGAAACCATCTCTTTGCTCCTTGCCACAAACTGTTGGTCGTTAATATTCTTCAAATGACATATTGGTTGAATTAAACTTAGCTGTTGCAGGAAGACTTTCCGATAACTTCTATACTATAACTTTATTACCGTAACTTTTGACCACTTCAATGATGAAGGCTTGTGCATTGAGGTAAGTTTGCTCAAAGAGTCAATTATTTGGGTCAAAAGTTCCTTACAACAATTATTTCTCACAAAAAGTTACCTTAGGCATGAAAAAGAACTGAAAATTTGGTTTTTTACGAAATATAAAGCAATAATCTATATTGCATTTCGGTACAAAGATTATTTTTTTGCAGAAATTGATTTCTCAACTCAAAATACATATGAATATCTTAGCTAGCAAAAGTTTCAATCCTAGTGTGAACGCAGAGACTTTTCTTTGAAAAAACTTGACCAATCAGAATAATCAACCCTCAAAACTTCAACCCCCCTGATGACGATGAAGATGGAGGTGTTATGGCCTAGGATTTTCCTCCATTCTGTCGGTGCCTATTGACAACTTTAGAGCCCTAGCCTTTTTCGGATTTCCAAAAAAAAGAAATTTCGGCCCACCCTAATAACCCACATGGACTGTAGGAATCCATACCAATACTTCAATTAATATAATGTTGATTATTGTGAAATACAGTACTTACTAGCTGTTTCATTGTTCTTTATCATTTCAGGACATTCTGCAATAATGGTATTCTTAAAAGTGGTGACCAAAACTTCCACACAACATTCTGTTAACTGAAAAAAAGACCCAATCTGTTGAGATATAAGTTTGTGTTACCTGTTACCAGTAAACCCCAATTTTTCACCGCATGAGTGACTACTGCAGAACTTTTTTTACCTCTAATGACGGTACCTACCACTGAATTTTTTTTCTGCAAGGGTGAGTGTACCATGAAACTTAATACACTAAAAATATGACTTCTGTTTAACTTCTTTTACCGCTAGAGCCACTGAATCGCAGAACTTCTTTTACCGCGAATATGATTATAATAAAATTACGCGAATAAATTTACCACAGGGCTCTGCTTGGATGTACGAAAGGAGGAAACGTTCTTATTAGTAGTGTTGTGGGAGACGTGCTTTGCATCATGGCTTTTTGTGAGAGATCACAGATTTGTAAGGCCAGCGGTAGAGACAGGTCCGTCAGAAATTGGTGCTTGTTTATGTCTCAACATGGAGCTTCAGCAGCAGAGGTGAATACATTTTGAAATAGAAGATTCAGTAATCGCTGGGCAAGATCAGTCTGCAGGAATAGATTTCCAGGTGGTCCGGTAGTTTCCCCCGTTAGAAGTTTCATTGAGTATAGATGGGGATACTTGGTATTCAGTGTATTAGAGGCAGCATAAATGCTGCAGACGTAGCATTTAAATTGTGCGTTTCTTTTTTGTATTGATATGAATGTGATTGATATGTATGTATGTGATACATATGTATATTCATATTTGTACATGTATGCGCCCCTCAAGACAACATTAGATATGACAAGAAGATGCCTTAATATGGAAGCGGCAGAGAATAGAATACAAATTGATAGTGGGTGAGCGTTGCGTGGGAGACCCAACGGGCTGCAACAAGTAGTCTCAGTCTATTAATTTTACCCTCCAATTAGACTAGATTCACTTGCTTATTTGGATGCGTTTATAACGTAGAGAACTCTTTTACACGGACTTCTTTTGAGCATAATTACATTCATTTGTAGTTCCTTATAAAATTGAGAAACAAATTCTAGACAACATGTAATTATTAATTTTGCTTGCTATTTTTTCACATTAGTTGTGGTGCTGGTCACTGTTGGACTGTCACTTCCTCAAATAAAACGTAAATAAATTCACAAAAAATTTGGTCTCAAAAATTTGCCAACCAATATACAGTGTTATTCAAAAGTTACGCACCACTGACCATGAGGGGGGTGGCCATTTGAAAATTTTAGTTGCCCTTCTCTCCCTCACCCTTCCTCCTAAGGGGGTCAAAACCTGGAAAGTACATAGAAAAGTTTTCCCCTCGATATGAGGAAAAACGTCACAAGCCGCCGGTCGATATCTTAATTAAAACTAAAGTTATGGCCAGTGGTGGGTGACTTTTGAATAACCCTGTATCAAAAGAAATTGAGCAGCAGGGTCACTCTAGTGGTAAAAAAAAAAAACAAGTTATGCGGTACACTCATATCAGCAGTAAAAAAAAGTTCGGCAATAAAAAAGATTCGGGTTTGCAAAGAGAGCCAATTGGTAAACCTATGTTTGGCTAAAATAGCGTTATTACACCTGGGTTTGCCTTAAAATCGGGGCTTGGGGCTAACACCTACAATGAAGTAAAACTTATCCTGGCAAAAAAGTAAGAGTGCTTGAACTTTTTTAAATTACATGGGACAGAACAATTCCTTAGAGGTAAAATTAATCCTAAAAAAGGGCTTCTTGATTTACATATTTTTGGTTAAAATGAAAATTAATTTTAAATTATGAATATTGATATTTGCAAAAAGTTAACAAAATACATCACTAAACCAAACTTTCTTTCTTCCTTAGGGAGAGGAGGGGCGTGGCCTTGTATAGCCCATTAAATTAACCTTACAGGGGACGGCAACCCAAATTGATGTTGAGATTATGACAAAAATTGATGGCCCGTAAGATACAGATACAATTGCAAAAATTCCAAAATGGAAATTCTGCCTGGACACGGAAATAAGAGCAATTGAATTTTAGGTTGAGACATCACTGTGATGTTGCACGCTGCTCTGCTTCGTTGGGAAACACTACTTATGAGTTTACATGCTTCGATGCAACAATTGTAATACTTTTTTCCACTATTGGTGATTGTAGAGACTTAATTCCACCATATTTTCAAGAAATTCAGAGTTTGAACGTTTCGTTCATTCAGGCTTAGTAAATAATTCAATAGAAAAAAATGGAATGAATGAAGACCATGTAATAGAAAGAATGAAATACATAATGAATAGAAGGCTGGTGGAGCTCTGTAATTTTAAAACATCAAGAATTTTTGGGAACATTAAACTTTTAAATGAAACATTCTTAGCACCTTCTTCTTGTGAATTTGTGTTCAAAGGTGATCTTTTGGGCACTTTAATTAGCGTAAATGATGCAAGAGGAAATGACACTCTCCTGATTTCAAATAAGGGTATAGCTTAGGGTCCATCTTTCCGCCAAATTTCATTTTAAATTTCGGGGCAAACATAACTTATTTTGGAGGTTAATTATAAATTGTGATTGGAGTTTACTCTTCGGAGGTGACTCGTCGCAGGCTAGGTAATTTACTTCTACAATAAGTAAGTAAGTAAGTAAGTAAGTAAGTAAGGCCGGGCTGGCCGGCGAGGCGCCCTCAAGGGGCCAAGGCAACTGGCAACTGCCGTCGTGCACCCCGAAGTCGGACCGTGCTCCTTAACATATCTTCGTACTATTGACACATTGTGTATCCTTTATATTCCCGCAAGGCTCAGCGGCCGTCTGATAGCCAACGGAAAGCCTTATCAAAGACTGTGGCAGACGCTGCAGAGCACGGGCTTTCGGAGCACGGCCATGCCTCCACCGAGTTGGACTGTGTTGTTGCAATCTACACTGACAGATAGCGCTGGCAGTCGCGCACACTACGAGTGATTACCGATTTTTCACAACCCAGTCAAACAGTGCAGACGGATTACTTACTGGGTGACTATGTCCCTCCCGCACCCTGTTACCTCGAAGGGTCAGGGTATTGGAGTGGCATAGTCATCCACGGTCACGATGACTGATATTTGAGTGTCCTCAAATATCAGTCACCTCCGGGGATTGAACCCGGGACCTCAGTGTTGGCAGCGAACTGCCTTGACCACTACACCATTGAGGCTGACTTTACTTCTACAATACCAAGGCAGGGTAAGTGTCTATAGGACGTCTACCTAGAGGCTTCTTTGCTGAGATGAAAGGAAGATGGGGAAGTTTCAGTATGTGTGTTCTTATTGTTATCATTCCTATGGTGCTCTGTCGCATACTGGCTGAGGAGTGTAACCTCACTGTGATGTAACAGCCGAATCTTTGACGCACTGCAACTCACTTATAGAGTCTTGTGTCCAAGGAAACAGAATGCAGCTCTCTTTTCTGCTTGAGCTAAGTCTTTGATTTAGGCAAAATCATTTTTAAGGTTGCTGCCTCCTTCGAAGTATGCTATTTTACAACCTGAAGACTTTTTCGTTCAGGAGATATCAAGTGGAAAGGGTTCGCCCCCCTCCCCCCTTCCAAAATATTTTTTTGGGTCTAAAAAATTAGAAAAAGGGGGCTCAAGTATGTGTAAGCAATACACAAAGTTTGGTGGGCATTGAGTAGGGAAAGGGGGGGAACCTCTAATTTTTGCATCATGCTCTTCCCCGCTAAAATAACAGTAATGCAGGTTCTATATGGGTGGATTTCAGCTAATGGGAGAAAATGGTTCTGAAAAAAAGTTGATTAGTGATTTGGCCATATCAAATTAAAGACTACTTGTCTGTTATCTTAGAGCTCCATACTAAAGGATTTAATTACGTGCATCGCAATATCTTTACGCTTATGTACAGAAATGAGACTTGGGAGTCAGAAAAACTACCATTAATGTCAGTTTGGTGACGCTTATTATTTTGGCTTTGAAATAATTAATTCAGCTGAGTTATTCCATATTCCAATGTACTGATTGAAAGTATTAGGCTATAGCTACTAAAAAAAAAAAAAAAAAAAAAAAAAAAAAAAAAAAAAAAAAAAAAATAAATTGTGACACTGTTCGATAAAACAAAAATTAAAGAGTCAGAAAGCCAAAGGAGGGGTATCGAGAAGGGCCGTTTTTGGCCCCCTCCTAGAATCTGGAAATTTATGCGGGTTTACCAAGTTGACTCAATGTAGTTTACGGAAATAATCATGATTTAGCCCATAGGCCACTGGATACGTGTTAAACGGTTGCCTAAACATGGGTCTGCAGGCGTATTTTAGCGAAAATTCGTGTTTTTCTGTCACTCCGAGGCTGTTTTGACACAGAGCGCATTGTCTAACTAAAACGAGCTTTTGATATGTTATTGAGGAGGCTTTAGGACACATTTTAACCCTGGTTTGGTTTTAGTTAGATGATGCGCTCATAGTAAAAAAAAAACTTTTTACAAAAATCGACGTCTAAGGGACTATTGCAAAAATCTTAGGGAAACACGTCTCTCGAACTGTATGCACGCTAAGTATATTATCGAGGGCTGTTATCAAGCCTTTTCAGTCTCTTTTACAAGGAGATTTCCTTCAATTGTGTCAAAGAAAAATTGAATTTTCCATACAAATAACTGTGAAGATAACGGATTTTGGAGTAGTGGAGGCATATTTTCACTAATAGCATAACATCAACTTAAAGCAGGAAATGTATGCGAGTTTTCCGAGTTGACTCAATGTAGCTTACGGAAATAATCATGATTTAGCCCATAGGCCACTGGATCCGTGTTAGACGGTTGCCTAAGCGTGGGTCTGCAGGCGTATTTTAGCGAAAATTCGTGTTTTTCTATCACTCCGAGGCTGTTTTGACACAGAGCGCATCATCTAACTAAAACCAAACCAGGGTTAAAATGTGTCCTAAAGCCTCCTCAATAACATATCAAAAGCTCGTTTTAGTTAGACAATGCGCTCTGTGTCAAAACAGCCTCGGAGTGACAGAAAAACACGAATTTTCGCTAAAATACGCCTGCAGACCCATGTTTAGGCAACCGTTTAGCACGAATCCAGTGGCCTATGGGCTAGATCATGATTATTTCCGTAAACTACATTGAGTCAACTTGGAAAACCCGCATAAATTTCCAGATTCTAGGAGGGGGCCAAAAAAGGCCCTTCTCGATACCCCTCCTTTATTCCTAAATTGCAAGAATGACTTACATTATTTCTCTTTGTGTGTCATAAAATCAGATTAATGCTGTTCCGAAACAATCATTTATGAAGATAATTATTTACAGAAGTGGTTTAAAGTTTAAATATGGGCTTATAACATGATGTTATCGAAATATTGCTTAAAAAGTGAGCGTCACCAAAACTGACATAGCGTCACCGAAACTGACATAGCATCACCGAAACTGACATAGCGTCACCAAATCTGACATAGCGTCACGAAACTGACATAGCGTCATCAGAATGACAAGCTACCATTAAAGTGAGTCACTGGATATGAGTTTCAATAATTTAAACTAAATCTTAAGTATCAGAGAGACTAATCAGTAGGTTGTACTAGTCTCGCTGCGAGTGCCCCTGGACCCCCGGTTCCTCGCTTTGCGATTACCTTGCGACTCGTTCCGCGAGCCACCCCTAATAGCTAGTAACTTTTAAAAGTACGAATTTACTTTTTTAACGAAGAGGTGAATAGTGGCGAAAATGTTATCTTTGGCTACAGCTGCCGTCTTGGATTTTGGAATTTTGAATATCTGACCAAAAATTCGAGTTTCCCGTTGAAAAATACCCTCGGATACCGAATTTCACGAAAATCGATCAAACAGGAGCCGACTTAGCATTTTAAGCCACGGCCGCCATCTTGGATTTTGAAACTTTGGAAATCTGACCAAAAATTCGGGTTTCCCGTCGAGAAGTACCATCTAATACCTAATTTCACGTGGATCCGTCGATAAATACCCCCTAAAACCTGAAATTTCATCTATAATGCTGTGACGTCACGCGACAGGATTAAACCTGTTCAGCGCGTAAACAACCGCGTATCCCCAATGCATTAGTATAGGGAGAAACAACTTTTCTTTTTTTTGGGCTTCAGCAGCATTTTTTTCTAAATTTGATTTTTTAGGCACGTAGAGGTAGTTCTTAGCTTCATTCTTGCTAAGTTTGAAGGAAATCGCTCTGACAGTTTTTTTTGTATAGTGTTGTTGAAATCTCGGTACAGTAGCTTTATATAATTAATGTTATAATTAAATTCCTGATCATACACAGTTACAACTCATAATATCCAATTAAGGGATGTCTATAAAAAAAGGATTGTCATTTTTCAGTGATCCTTTCATTTCGTGCATCGTTCAAAGTCATTGAAATAACTCATTCAAACGCGTAACGATTTTTTTTTCTCGCAGTAATTAATGAAAAACATCATCTCCTGAACGTCACCAAACCTGACATGTCAGTTTGGAGACGTTGAGTCAGGTTTAACATTTTGCTGTTATTAATTTTTCCTGCCAATTTACGATAACAAAATCAAACGAATCATTGAGGTTAGGTCGAGAGGTCACCTGTAGATGTAAGTGAAAAATATTTGCTAACATATTCCACCTAAAGTTTTGATGGAAGACAGCGTCATCAAAGTGACATTGAATAAGTGAGACACTCCAAAAACCATTGAAACAACAGAAATCATGCTGAAATTGGAAGAAATATGTGGACTTATCAAGTAGACGTCCGTTCATTCTCCACTTCCGCACTCAGTCATGCCTTAATTTGTACAAAAGTGTTATCTCTTCAGTGGCCATGAACTAAAACGCATGGCATCACCAAACTGACATAATATTGAGTTACACGCTTCAAGCCTCAAATTAAATTGAATAATATAGTTTTCTGGAGTTCAATGCATATTATATCAAACAATATACATTCAAGACTTAAAAAAAAATTAGACAAAGCTCGCAAAAGGTCCTGGTTTATTTATATGACGATTTGATTCATTGACTACCTACGAGTTACACATCACCAAACTGACATTTTCAGTTTGGCACGTTGAAAAAAAGGTTCAGAGTTATTCAAATCTGCTGAGGAAATTTTCCGTGGTTGGTGTGACCTGCTTCTACGCAAAAAACCAAACATCAAGAGAAATTATTATAATTGAAAGTTTTGAGCGATCAGTTACACATTTTTCCCATATTTTATCCCATTAGCTGAAATCCACCCATATGCTTTCAAAAAATTGAGTCTCAAATATTTTTCTGACTCGGCGTGAAGAAACAATGTCATTACTCAAGTAATAGGTACCACTCTTCATGAACAAGAATTTGGTTGAATAGTATTAGCAGCAGCCACATTTTCATTAAAGAACTTACCGATTGTACCGAGCCACTGCATGGTTCTAAATATTTCTGGGCTCTTAGTTCCTCCTCTCGTAATTTTGCATCTGCATATTTCATGTAATTCTGGACACCATTTAGTCGTAGACATTCTGGCGCTTTCATTTTGTAAAAAGCCTCGGTTGCTTCAATGTAGGCTTTTTCAAAGTTATCCCGATAAATTTGCAATTTATCTTCAGGGTTGGAGCATAAATTAACTGAAAAAAAAGAAGATGAAAATTAAAAATTAAAAAAAAAAACACACACACATTAATATAACCTCCAATGAAACACGAAGAATACCTATCCCTCCAAAGGCACTTAGCACCCAATTTGTACATAGAGTTCCTGGCGCCTTTAAAAGTCATTGGATATACTAGAATTATTTTTTTTAGGATTCTCAAGTTGTTTGAAATTTACGATACCTAGTTCTATCCTTCACCACCAACTGCAAAATATTTGTTTAGAAAATATCTTACTTACAAAACCCTGAACCCATAGTCTACAAAAAATAGCAATTTTCCTCTCGCACAACAAAATCCAACTGTAAATACCATCTATACCTTTCTCATTTCTATGCTCATCTTTCCTCTCCTAATATTTCCTGGAATCTGGATGTATGTTTTCCCGGCTCTATCCTAGGTTAGCAATATAAGCCGTTCCAGTTGAGCCTCTGTAAACGTGAACATAACCAGGCCTTGAACTAACTATAAAAAAACCCCATTACTAGACAACCTATATCATCTCATATAACCTCATTACTATCCCTTTATCTCTTACAGAGTACTAACATAAATCCCTAGACACATTATGATACCTCAACCCTATCATCCCAGCTATGACTAAAACCAAAATTACTTTTCATTTTTCAGATCCCTTCTAAGACTGCAGTATCCCCGAAATATAAAGCCTAAAACAACATTAAAAAAAAAAAAAAAAAAAAAAAAAAAAAAAAAAAAAAAAAAAAAAAAAAAAAAAA